GATTTCCCCAGACTTGTTATACAGGCCATTTACTTAAAACGGATCATGACAATACTAAAATTAAAGCCAACATGCTCTAAAATTCTTTCTCTGACGTTTTTTCCCAATTCAAATATGTATCAGGAGCCCATGTATCCAGTACGTAACAGAACAGGAGCCGATTACTTTGTTGCTGCCGAATATTCTCGGGCTTTAACTGGCGTCTCCAGCAATCACATAAACGGAAACGGCGCCTTACCGATGTCGAAAAGTAATAAAGCGCCACATCGGATAGGTTCAGTGCCAGACTTGAGTGCAGTATCAAGGGTATTCGGACCCCACTGTAGAGGAAATGAATAAGTTGGAGCAAGGCCTGGAACCCACTGAGACGGAGGTACAAATCCAGGAGTGAGAAATGAGATTCGGTGCACCGATGTCTAAAGAAAAAACAGATGGTCTGTGAGCAGGCTAGGATGCCTAGGAACTTTCTCGCGTGCGTTTTAAAAAAGAAAGGGCCGCTTGTAGTCTAGTTTTTTCATGGACCACATCTTTTTAGATCTATTAAAAAACAGAAAATTACAGCCAAAACAAAAATTTGCAAGCTTTTCTATTGCTGATATGATTACAACAGAATTCAAGAAGACTCAAAAAATACGAATTTAAAAATATATATGGCGACTTCGCTTACGGTGACGTCACAACTATCTGAAGTCGGGAGTAAAGCATTACATAGTCTTACATGTAGCTTGTTTATAGACACTTGGGACTCTATACAAGTGCGGTGCGCGACGCCTGAAAGCGCCTGAGACGTGGATAAAAATTTCAAGAAAAACTGGTTTCATTACGAAAGTTGCTTTAGTCTAGTTTAGTTAATTATTCTTGACAACGGAATCTCGACGACAAAACCAACTAGATTGAAGTTAGTTGGTTCAGAAACTTGACTATGCCTACTAAGTTTTGCAGCACCAAACTATTTTTTTCTTTTCTCTGACGTGTATAATGAGTATTGCTTTGGGGAGAAAATGAAAACAAAATACGCTTTTAGATCTTCTTTTTCGTCAGTGCAAAGTCGTTTCCTGACTTTAACTTCAATGACTTTCTGCCTTGCGCGATTTACACCACTCAACACACCAAACTTCATACACTTAAAATAGTTACGGTGACACTTTTATTTGCGTTTTTAGAAACACTACAGATCTTTTATTTTAATCGTTTACTAATCATCGTTTAATCCTTTTCATCCATTTCGACGAACAGATTAGATATGTCCTCCAAACCACCACTGGGTGGTAGATTGGGTTCCCCGTGTGCAGCGAAACTTCGTACTCATGGTAGCGTACCAGCCAAAGTTGTCTTCACCCCCCACTGCTCCCGTCTTCACCACCTTGAATTGACAGTGAGTAAGTGTGCTATCAGTATGCAGGGTCCATGTATTGAGCTTCTGCCAGAAAGGTACCGTCAGATCCGTGCCCACGTGTCCCCGGATATTGATGTATTCCACTTTCTTACATGTACCGCCACCAACATAATTAATGATGTTAAAATCCTTGAAGTTTCCCCGAAGGTAGTCTCTAAAATCGATACCATTGATCGGGTAGCTGCATGTAGCTCGCCAGTGAGTGGACTGGCCTTGCAAGAATCTCATTCGCGCCAGACTTAAGCGGTAAAGATCCCAGTTAAGGTCGTCCTCGTTTTGTGGGGAGTTGTACTTGAACGGGATTTTAAAAAAGGCTGAGAGCTTTCGATTTACGAGGGCCCATGACATCACCATAGTCCATGCAGTGTCTAATTCGGACTTCATGTCACAGTAAGCTGCGTAACTCTTTCCACTCTGGTCGTAAAGTTTGTAGATGCCACTTTGAGAGATCCCGCGACGCAGATAATCAACGCAGGAGGTTGGACGGAATGAAGTTGGCTTCTTTTCCGTTTCGTTGGAGGGGACGACCTTAACCCAGAAGAGAGAAACAAAGCAAAAAAAATAAGACCGACCTTCTTAACAAGATATACTTCGAAAGAAAACTGAGCCTTGCTCTGCGGAAAATTTCTAATACAGATGATATGTCTCGTGAGCTGTAAAACCTGAGTCGCATTTTAGCTGTTTTCTTCTCTAGATTTACAGTTATAAATATAAATAACACTAAAAAATACGTACCTTATATCCATGTGAATTGTACGCAGTTATCTTGACTTGTGAACGATAAACGTTTATATCGCGTTTGATCGGTCTGTCATCGTCAGCTATTGCTACTCCCTGAAAAAGAGGAACACTTTGTTACAGGAACCACTTGCTCTATTTATGTGCTTAATATTCTGGCTTCCAAATCACTTGAAGCACTTTGTGTGTCGTCGACAAATCGAGTCTTCATTTGAATCATGTTCTATATCTGACTACATTGAATGAGGTGCGTATGCAGTCGCTTAGTATTTTCAACATTCCGCCTTTTGATCGTTGTTTTTTTGTTAGTACATACTGTTTTTGTTGAAGATATAAATTACGAGTCGTGTATAGTTATGTGTTATCCGAGAAAAACTCTTACAAGTAAAATTATGCCAATAAAAGCCAGGATTTTCTGAAATGCCATCGCCGTCCCGGGTTAATTTTGCGTTAAAAGCTCTCTCGGAATCGGCTTGAAGTTTGACAAAATTTGAACTCTTCTGTCTCGATAAGCCGTAGAAAAATGAACAAGCACACGGGCTGGGGATCTGTTTTACCGCCTTAAATTATAACAGGCGTGAGAAAACAGAATTAATAAATTGTATACAAGAAAACACGTTCCACCTAACACGTTTAGCAGTCTCCACAAAAGAACAAAAGGGTATAACTTTGAAAAGTACATTGAGTAGCCAAGTCTGTCAAAATTTGTGTCATTTCCCTTTGTTTCTTATTTGTCTGAGTTCATTGCATTAGTTGAGTCTAGGCAAACAAAAGCCTGAGACTAACCATGCCATTATTCAATATTTTACAGTCGTAGTTTTGAGTTATTTCAAAAGTTTGAGTTGCGACATCGAACTAAACTTTGCATCGACAGGCCTTTTCTTAGGCCCGTTTCAAACGTCGTGCTACTGCCGTGCCGAACTCAATTGATCGAATTAAATTCGACTTTAGCACGGCAGTAGGGCGACGTTTGAAACCAAGTCGTGCTACTGCCGTGTAGCACGGCAAGCCTTGCCGTGCTACACGGCAGAAGCTCAACTTAGTTTCAAGCGTCGTACTACTGCCGTGCCGAACTCAATTTATAAATTATAAAATACCTTAGAATATATTTAAAAGTTTGCTTAACCGTTTCTTTATTTTTTTTTGTTTTGTTTTCAGCAAGAGCCGTTCTATTTGACTGAATTAAATTCGACGTCTGAAACCAAGTCGTACTAGTGTCGTGCTGCAGTCGAGCTACGGTCAAGCCAGCTAAGCACGGCAGTAGCACGACGTTTGAAACAGGCCTTAGTTCTCTTTAGCCTCTAACTGCTTGTTTAGCACTTTGGAAGACAATAATAGTTTAATTTGGAAATAATGAAAATAATTGTTTTGTACTTCCGTTTACCCGACCCAGTCACACAGTAAATAGCCTAACTGAAGTTTAAAATTATATATTAGAAGCTCTACATGTGCTGTTGATACCCGTGCATGGTCATTTCAATAGCAGCCGTTGTGGTAAACAGCTGGTAATCTTGGCGCTTTTGAAGAGATTATATAAGAAATAAAACCTACAAGGAATATATATTAAAAATCTGACGAATAAAAAAATACTTTCACTTAAACACTTAGCTACCATAAGTTCAAAAAAGAATACAAGCGACTTCTAGTTAGTTCTCAAAGGTAACAAATGTTATACGACTGTTTCACATAAAATGACTGTGACATAATCGTCCATAGTTGCCATGGCACCAAGCGCACATGTATTTCCACTCATAATATAGCGGTGGTTAGCTCGAAAGCTAAGTTCCTCTGACCATCGTCACTTCTATCCAAGCTTTTTTCCTTCTTCTTCTTTATTAGTGTATTCCTACGTTACTTTATATAATGTAAATATTTTATAAAAGTGTGAATAAAATTGAATTGAATTGTATTGAATTGAATTAGGTTAGAATAAGCTCACTCTTCTCGCCTTTTAATTCTCTATCTGGGGGCTTATACAACTTCGTAACGGATAGTCTATCCGTCCACACTCCTGCGTTGATTATCTGCGCCGTGGGATCTCCCAAAGTAGCAGATACAAACTTTACGACCAGACTGGAAAAACTTACGCAGCTTACTGTGACATTAAGTCCGAGTTAGACACTGCATGTACTATGGTGATGTCATGGACTCCCGTAAATCGAAGGCTCTCAGCATTTTTCAAAATTCCTCTTAAGTACAATTCCCCACAAAACATGGGATCTTCACCGCCTTAGTCTGGCGCGAATGAGATTCCTACAGACTCACTCCACCCACTGGCGAGCAACATGCAGCATCGGCATCGACTTCAGAGACTACCTCCGTGGAAATTTCAAGGACTTTAACATCTTTGATTTTGTTGGAGTACGCCAGTGCAGGAAAGTGGAATACGTCAACATTCGGGGACACGTGGGTACGGATCTGACAGCGCCTTTCTGGCAGAAGCTAAATACATGGACATTGCATATCGACAGTACCCACACCCACTGTCAGTTCAAGACGGCGATATTTGGTGCGGCGTCAAGTGAAGACAACTTTGGCTGGTACGGAGACGGCATCAGCAACAAATTCCGCTGCACACAGGGAGACCAGTCCACTACCCAGTGGTGGTTTGGAGCTCACCTTTAATCTGTTTAGGGACACAACAGTCTTTCAGTGGGTCAAAGAATTGTAACAAAGTACAAGACCCTGTAGTGTTTTACAGTTCTTGAATAAAAATTTCTTCGTACACTAATCAAAGTGGATCAATTCAATTTTGCATGATGAGAAAAAGAGGTGTAAATCGCACAAAAAAGCGTTGAGCAAATTTGACGTCGAGTGCGGTAGCACAAAAAATGATGGAAAGAAGCCGAGAAACTGCCTTGAAAAACTGAATGATAAAGGTAATCTGAACCTGCATTTTTATGGAGTTGCGTGGAACAATGCATCTTGAGCAGCGTAGACGAGCCTTTTTCGAGTCTTTAAGACCTTCACTTAACTGTTCAATCCGAAATAATCTCTTAAACATGTACATTGTAGAACTGCGCATCATTTTTGGACCAAAACCAAAATCCATTCCTGACTCTGATTATTCCTTATTTTAAAACTTAACCTTCGTTTTTTGGCTAGTTTTTAAAAATCACCAGGGAAATAAAACAAATACCACAGAAAAAAGAGACTGAAACAGGACCAATTCTCTTAAAGTTTATCTTCTTTACGCACGGCCCAGGCGATATCCACCACACTTAATAAAAACGCGATCACTTACAGGGATACAAGTAAAATTTAATGCGAGTTAAGGCCACCACGCTTCGATCGCGACTTTGCCAATTCCCTGAAAACTTATCCATGTCAGAATAAACCTTCATTTTGTCGATGTGGGGTAGTCTTTTCAAGTAAGCATCCCAAGCAAAATCTTATATCACCACCATACCTGTACTTTACAATATCTTATCAATGCAAATCTGTACTTATAAATGCCCGATGCCTCGCGTAATTTCGTGGAAAGGATGAACAGTAGCCGGTGGTGGTTACTTTGCGTTTTGCGACGAAGAGGCGGCACATACTTATATGGCTTATGTAGGGGAGCATAACGAGCTGCACGGTCTTAGCAACCAAAAAAACCCCTCAGTATCCAGCTGAGATAGCTGAGTAAAAGTCAGCTATCTCAGCTGGATACCCAGTAGCTTGCAACATTCCGTATTCCCTTAATCTCTGATCGTATTTCGCATCTAATATGATAGAGGCGTCAATTTTCACGCAATCATGTCATCATCCTGGGGCGACAAATAAAATTAATTAAAAATGCGATATCAAACAAAATGTCCGGAGAAAATAATTCAGTGCCTTCTAAAAAGAACATTTTAAAGTCTGCGGTCGATTTCATTGCCAACGTGTTATATATCCTAGAAGCGCTCAGGCATAATAACATCATGCCAGGACTTCTACCTGGGTGAACCAGAAAGGATATAGAACAACAGCCTAAT